AAATGTACATATACAGCAAATATCATGCGGACTTCTGCACAATCTCTGTTTGGGTTTATTAGAGCAGATTTATCGCAGGACGTCATGAAAGCATTGTCAGACAACATATTATACCTTGTCATTAGAGATTTAAAAGTTGGAATGAATTGTATTCCTGATGGTGTATTACGAGATGTTAGTTTTATTTCGATTAAAAAAGTAATAAAAAGTTTCTATTATAAAGCATTTAATATAATCATTTCTTAACAGTTTCCTTATAATGAATAATTTTTAACGGAAAAAGTTAATATTTTGTAAGAAAAATATTAATTATGGGAACATATTGCAATGTATTTTCATAAGTCTCTTACAAGATGCTTATGGAGGTGGTAAGGAGAAAATTACAAATATTAAAAATTGCATAAAACATAAGTTCTTTTAAAAGTAATATTAGCATGTAAATTTTAGATCTTTGATCATAAAAAGGATTCGACATACATGTGTATTGTTATTTAATATACCGAGTATAAATGTATAGCAAAGCAAATCGCAAAAGTAATTGCAATTTCTGCAGTAGTCTTTTTTAAATAGAAAATTTTACATTTTATAAAAATTTTGAAAAATAATTACTTATTTGGAAAAATCTTAAATTATCATAAAATATAATTGTCACATGTTGTATTGTGGCAATTTTTATAAAAAAGAATTATATGCAAAAAATTACGTAAGCGACAAATCTATTGAAAAACTACTTGTACTATTTACGCATAAATAAATATTTTTACACATATCCGTTTAAAATAATGTTACATAAATTTATATATTCATCATTTTTACAAATATAGATATTCAAAGACAAGACAAATATTTAAGATTTTTTTATTTTTCTTTTCTTACCATACGGCTGATGTCTCCTCACATTATTACGAATTTTCATACGTACAATTGTTTTCAATTCGCGTCTTAAATTATTAAGTTCATAATTTGAAGCAGCTTTTTTACTGAAGAACTTTATAGCCTCTGAAAAAATATCTTTATAATATCTGCATAAACAATACTCTAATTTTACGATTTTTTCATATACATACCATTAAACCTTACGTCATTGTTATCAAAAAATAGAGTATCTTTATAGCCAAATAGGCTATTTTGTTGAGTATCTTCTTTAATATCATCAACCATTTGATTATCTATGTCTGGTGCTTCATGTGTATTTTCATCATCAGATGAATCGTATTTAAATGCATTATTTGCATTAAAATTAAACTTAAATTTTTGGGCTTTGTTATTTTTCACAGTGGATGTATCGTTATCTTTAGTATTTTCTAAAAATATAAATAAATTAAGAAACTATGTACTGAAATAACATAATACAGATATAAATATGTAATGTTATCTTTTAATAAACACCTGTGTCATCTTTTTCCTTCCCATATGCTTTCAACAAACTAAATTCTCCTTTCTGTTTCAAGCTTTCTGTCAAGATATCAGATACAGCATAATAAATATCCTTTGACACTTCTGGCTCTGGCACAGGTTTCTCATTCTCTGGAACTAACTTTTCACGTTTCTTTTTTTTACTCTGTTCCTCCTTAGTTTTCGGTTGTTCAGGTTTCACTTCATATTCACAATGACCATTTTCAGTTGGGTCATATCGTATCATCAATCCCTTCCTGTAAATGCTTTGTCATTAAACATCCAAAGCAACAATTGCAAGTTCTTGTTCATCTAAATATTCTTACTTAGTAGGTTGTGTTTCCTGTTTTTTTACAGTAAGCGGCACTCCTAAAATGCTTTCTAAGATACCCAGCTGTCTTTCTTTTTCTTTTTGCAAATTACACTCATCGGTGCCATCAACAACTTTACTTTCCTCTGTCTGACGATCGTCTTCAGTGAATCGATTATCCAGAGTAAAACGCGCATCGTTGCCAAGAGTGGTCTATATAAATAAATAAACTGTATTAGCATCATATTTATTAGCATCTAAGGAAAAATAAAACGTAAAATATTAGATGCTTACCTTTTTACCTTTCTTGATTTTAAATTCATCCTCATTCCATAGAGAATTCTTTTCATTGTTATTGTCATCGTCACTGTCAAACAAATCTCTCTTTGTCTTTTCCTTTGGTTCTAGTTGTTGCCCTTCATTGTCATAAAATATAATTTTCTTATTGTTTGTAGTAGTATCCTGAGGAAATAATAATCGTATGAGTGAAATATATTTCGTATACATAAATTATCATAAAAAGATGTAATGTAATTACAATGCGAGTAAACTTACCAAGTTTCTTAATGCTTGCTGTATAAGTTGTCCCTTTGCTTTAAACGCCAGTTTCTTCTCCTTCAAAGAACGCAAGCGTTTCTTCTCTGATTCAGTAATTGCACTCATTTTTAATGGCTATTGTAATCAAGAAAAAAGAAATATTAACAACAAGAGGAAATTGAACCATAATGTCCCATAACCTTAATTGTCATCGAAAAGTTGCTAATTACGTGGAATACAGGCACAACTTACAGATAAACAAGTCCAAGTATTATGTGATTTCGTTAGTAGAATATGAAAATAGTAGTTAAAATTCTTGCTCTACATAAAAAAATTAACATTCCAATGACTTATAAACGGATATGAAAACAGCATGCACAAGGCTGCGTTCGGAAACGTCACCCGAGTGCACACGAGTTACTCCCTTCTCTTTCTATCTTAGCGAGTTAGAAGGAGAAGAGAGTATACCCGTGTGTACCCGGGAACTCGAGTATATATATGTATGTCACGTGAAGATAGCGACAAGTAGTACGAAACCGCGCCAAATTTGAACCAACGTGCGTGCGTACGCACACATGTTGAATTTTAAAATACGTGTACATCAAATAAAATTTGCCGTAAATAATGTAAGAAAATTTTATTTTTAAATTATAGATAGCCCTTCGGGACTTAAAATGCTTTTACTTTTGAGAAATTGAAATTTCAACAATATAAAAGCAGACATTTTTCATGCTGGGGTCTTTTTAGACCCCATGTGTCATTTACAAGATTCTTGAGAGGTGTGGCATTTAAGGGTTAAGATCTTTATATTGAATAAAGTATCGTCGAAAAAAAAAATCTTTATTAGATCACATCCCGACTATTATTTCATGAAAATTAATGCGTAGCTCTTATAATTTTCGTAATAATTATTATATAAACATATCTCGTATATCATAAAGAATATCCACGATACTCTCTTCTTTCTCGATCAGACGAATGTATTCGTTATTGTCGGCAAAAATGTCGAAACTTTTTACGATGTCGGAATTAAGATGCAACAGTCAGAATTGTGTTTTTTAGTGATTCAATCTT